CAACAACAACAACAACAAGAGTCAAGAGGAGAAGGAAGTGGGAGAAACAAGGAAAGAAAAGTAAAAGGAAGAAGACGAAAACAAAAATCGGTTTATCCTGAGAAATAATCAAATTACCACCGTTATAGGAATATAGTGAAAACCCATATCCACGAACTCTCAATCTACTGATAGATTGTTTAATCAATAACAAAACAAGCTATGGCGGTAACATCAATCTTATTAATATAAATACAATCAGTTCCTATAAACACAGCTAGTCTCTGCAAATAAATGGTGCAATCACATTTTTAGACTAATAATAGCAAAATGACAAAGCAATAAAGAAAATAAGTATTTTAATCAAAATATATTTGTGCTTAAAGAATGCTTGTTCAGTGTGTCATGGAAAACCTGCTGGGCGATCATGGAGGTCCTGCTAGGATTTGTGTAAAAAGGGACGACATGCTATTTTAGGGAAAAGGGATAACTGACAAATTGTTTTAAGCCGATAAGAACAAGCCCGCAAGATAATTTTAAAGATAAAGGTTAAATGAATTAGAGTGCATACCATATATCCGTGAACATTTTAACTAACAAAATCCAACAAATTAGCGCAAAGTTTGTGGGACTACGGTTCAGTACTGAGCTTTCTAATTTTAGCAAATTTGCGCAATTTCTAACAGAGTTTTTTACGGATTCATGGCATGCACTCTAGTATAGTTTAGGAGCAAATAGAAAATAATTAATGAAGAAAGGAAAAGGAGGAGGTCAAAAAATCGTGATTGCAAAATATCGTCATTTCGTTGCGAGCGAGTCGAAAGCAGATTGAAGCAAATATTTGCTTTGGTGAGAAGCTAACAATGCCCGATATTTTATGATGAGTTGGTCATTCAAATTATCTAATTATTATATCATTTAAGCTTTATATGAATTAGTTTTAGGAGCAAATTGAAAACATAAAAATCATGAAATGAGCGAGGGATAACTGTTAAGATATTCTAGGGAAAGGAATAAGTGTGCAAAGATGATTGGAGCAAATGAAAAAATGAGGTTTAAAATATTTGGGTCACTGACCTCAGACGAAAGGGGGTAATAGATATTTGAACAGTTTTTCGCTTATTACTGACATGATAATCAGTATCAGTATCAGTATCAGTATCAGTTCTGTTCCATTATTAACAGCAATTAGCTGAGCAATGGGGACTCTATTTTATTCGAGATTAAAGTTCTTAAGAAGAAGTCCTTTGAAGGCTTTTCTGTCTTTTGTTAATCTTCTGGCCTGGTCTTTATCAATGTTTAATAGTGTTTCGATATTTTTTGGTTGGTTTCATGAAAAGTAGTTTTTTCGTAAGATTGAAGTTCGGCCGTCTACATACATGTGCGATTAATCAATCTAATTTATAACTTGATTGAAATCATTGTATTTTTTAAAGATGCGGCTCATTTTCTATTGAAATTTAGGCGCATTTGTTCACTGATTTTCACTAGCGACGGAGTCAAAGAATAGAGTCGTAAACCGGAGTCACGTCAGAAGCCGCTGAGTAGGAATCAGAAGAATCGAAAGGTTTCTTTTTTCTTGTCTTTTGTTTACGCTTATGTTAAGTAATTTCCCCCGTGCTTTACTTCCCTTTTATTCGCATCGTTGTTACTTTCGCACAATAATGCGAATAAGCTAGTTATTCTTTTCTAAAGATATCTTATAGGAATTTTAACAAAATCAATAAATGAACTAAAAATTAAAAACGAAAAGAAAGAATAAGGAAGGAGGGGAAAAGAGAGAATGGGAAGAAGCCCAAGCTAAAGCATCGAGAAGAGGAGAAAATGAAGGAAGGAAGGAAGGAAGGGAAAAGAGAGAATAGGAAGAAGCCCAAGCTAAAGCATCAAAAAGAGGAGAAAAGGAAGGAAGGAAGGAGGGGAAAAGAGAGAATGGGAAGAAGTCCAAGCTAAAGCATCGAAAAGAGGAGAAAATGAAGGAAGGCAGGAAGGAACGAAGGAAGGAAGAAAGGAAGGCGGAAGGGCGGAAGGAAGGCGGAAAGAAGGCGGAAGGAAGGAAGGAAGGAAGGAAGGAAGGAAGGAAGGAAGGGATTTTCAATATTACCTAATTTAATTGTGTTTACAAAGTGAAAAAAAAATTTTTTTGAATTTCTAATTAAAAAGAAAATATATTAACTGTGAAAGGAAACTTTTTACCACAATTGTAAATTTTCTCGCGCGCTGATTGGTTAAAAAACGTCGTAAATAAGAGGCCATATCAACAAATGGCGTCATGCAAGATTTCGTGCAGTCTATTTCCTAGAGTTTTGTGAGTTTTGTAGTAAAAAACAAATTTACGATGGTTTAGCGTGGTATGTCCTCTTATTTACCACGATATGACGTCAAACGTTGGTCAAAATTAGTTATGGACCCACTCGGCTTACGCCTCGTGAGTCCATAACATTTTGACCAACTTTTGACGTCATATCGTGGTAAATAAGAGGACATACCACGCTCAACCATCGTAAATTTGTTAAATTTAACGAATACTTTCATTGTGCAAACACCATTAAATTAGGCAACATTAGAAATTGATGCAGAACATTTATCAGGTTTTGTTTGAATAGCATTTTCAAGTCCTTTAATTGCGTTATAGTAGTTATATTTTGTTTGAAGTTAAATTACTTTCGCTGGAAAGTCTAGGACAAAACCTGCTAAAATGTGTTTGCTCTTTTTGCTGTTTATAGACCTACAAATACAAGTTTTATTAGATATTTACAGTGCGCGAGTTCAATTCTCATCCCTTTTGAGACTAAAGGAGCCCACGAGTGTGGCGGAGGGAGGAGTGGGAGTGGGGGGAGTGCTTTGCATTACCAATAAAAAAATCACGTTTCTTTCCAAGACCATTGTTTTGGTCCCACATTCACTTTATCTAGTGTAGCTATGGTTCTCGTGCTGACTCAAATATTCCAAAAGCCCAACACATGATATTTTTAAAATGTGTCGCCTTGTCGAAAAAAACAACAACAGTGATTGCTAAGCAGCCATCCTTTTAACCAATCATTTATGAATATTCAATATTACCAACCATGACGTCAGAAAAACTGATCCATTCGTTAGACATTTTTTTTCATTAAATTCATTTAATCAAATTCCTCTATTTTTTATCAAAATCTTAAATTAAACTGCACCGGTTTTTGTTTTAGCTTTAATCGCAAAAGCACTTAAAAGAATTTAATCTTAACAATATTGAAAAATATACTAAATTTCACCTGAATTTTCGGTCCAATGGCTCAGCTGTTTTGAGTTATTTGAATAATGGCACTATATTTACATTTTCCGTAGATAGAAAGCTTTTCTCATTGGCCAATCGTAGCAAATAACCAGGTCTTTACCAATGCCATCAATATTTTATTCAGGATCTCTGTATATTCTACCGAATTTAAAAGCTAAAAAAAAATAAAAAACAACTTCGTTTTGGAATAAAATCGCAAGGAAAAATCTTACTTTGAGGGAAGTGCTTTGAAAGGTAAGATGAAGTTAATTTATAAACGAGAAATCTTTCTTTGCCCTAGAGGATTATATATATTTTTATTTCGGAATACTCTTCAAATAATAGAAATTTTAGGGTAACAGATTCACACTCAAGACCCCAAAACATTGCTCTAAATGTAAAGCTTATTTTCACATGAAATTCTATATTTAATCAGGTATTCTCGATGCTCTTATGTGTGTTAAAACCACAATTTAAAAAAATATGAACGATGTCATGCGACATTAGTCTTGATGTATTTAAGATATGACGAATTTAACTCGCGTAAATTTAACGATATTTAAACACGAAAAAACCTGCAATACTCGTTTTTATTACATTTTCAGTGCGGGACGAAAAGAATGAATGATAATACTCTATTCTTTGTTACTGTTTTCTTGCTATCCTGATGTTGTAATTTTCGATTTTTCGCAAAGTAAATCATGTTTAACCGCAGGGGTCCGAGCTGACTGTTCGAACTACTCCGCACTCAAAATACGTATATCAAGAGTATAAAGGTCTTAGGGATTTAACTTCAGCAGTTTGTGGTTCACAGTTCTTGACTACCATAAATCGAAATTTTTTTTATTTTAAACTTTTTGCACTCATTGGCGTAAAAAATGGAGGCTATTTTTGATATCTGTTTGTTATTATTATTTATTTGAGCAAAAATTATTCGCTTTTACTCTGAAATACTATAGACACACTAACAGGAAAAAAAAAATGATAAACAAGAATTTCAAAAACGTTTCCAATAACGAAAAATAATTATTTTCACCAAGAAGTCGAAATATGAATGAAAAGGAAAAAGGAAAAGGAAAAAGAAAAAAGAAAAAGACTTGACGGATATAATACATACAGGCATACATACATACATGGTTTATTTGTTAACGCAGGTTTACCGAACGCAAGACTGAAGTCCTGATGTGGACCTGCCTATAATAGTAGCTACAGGATAACTTCGGACTGCCTAACGTTTATGTAAGGGTCTTAGAATTGTTGCCAAAGAATGGAAAAAGGAATCACTCGCTTGTGAAAGAACAAATCAAGCAAAATATTATGGCTAACAGAGTATTTGTTCCAACACGATTTGTGTCACATGTTATATCGGATATATGAATTCCAGTTTTGCCTTCCAGAACCAGCAACTCGCCACAATTATCTCTGGAAATAAAAAAACAATATTTAAAATCCAAATATTAAGTGGCATGAAAATACAATAAAAAAAAGAAATGAGAATAAATAAATAAGCATTTTGCAATGTAACTTCTGAAAACTTGCCAATGATGGCAAACCGATTAGGTGATGAGCCATGAGGCCACGTAGCCGTCTGCACTAAATCATCAATTTGGCAATACTGATTTTCCCAAGTTTTGTTAAGTTGAATAGATATAATTTACCTTCCATAAGCAGCATATTTCACTTAATACGAAATGATGATGCTTTTTAATATAAATATGTCAGGAATCATGCCAAAATCTTAGTAGATCTTAGTCATATTTAGTGACATCATCATCCATAAATATAGTTTAATAAATTAATGATAGTTTCTGAAGGAGGAAATATTTCCATAATCCGAGCTCAAATTACGCCGTCAAAAAAATGATATCCTGCTGTATTCGAAAGGTTAAACTTAAATTTATATAAATAAATGTTGTTTCTCGAATGAGTTTCGATTGCGAAAGTCTTATATATGATCTAAAGTTTTCCCCCATTGTTTTATGATCAGCTGTTTGTTGAGCTTCATTCATTCGATGAACTTGGCCAAGTAAAACAAGTTTTCCTCAACAAATCCCTAGCCTCCCCTCCTCTCTCTTTCTAGACAAAATATCACATGATTTCCTATACTTCCTATTGAAAGACCTCTCTTCGCTCTCCATGCAGTAACATGTCGCCATCAGTCTCTATAGCTTAGTTCCACTAATTCTGGTAATTTCTATTCATACTATTCTATAAAAATCGATGAAGCGGTCGTCACGTCATTCAAACAACTCGCATATAATTATAAACACTCTTGGCATACTCCTAGCTTGTCCTAGCTGGTACACGAGTAAATTGAACACTTCCCTAACAAAACCCGCACCGACGAAGTTTCGAGTTCCTTAGATGTATTCTTCCGCAAGTTCTAGACGTTCAAGCAACCCAAGATATAGTGATTATGAATATAGGTCCAACTATCGGAGAGAATTTGACAATAATGACGAAGAAGATGATGAATTATCGATAGAACAAGACCAGAATGAGTACGTCCTTCTATTTTTTCAAGCAATATTATTTTACTAAAGAATTTCCTGATGCGAAATGGTGGAGGATAAGACTCTAAGTTTGTAGTTCATTTGGAAGTACAAACTACGAATATACTGGGCTGCTTCAAATTTGAATAACCAAGTCTCGTATTGTTATAGGTTTGAATATACTCCGAGACAACTTTCACGTCCAAGAAGCTTTGTTGGAAGAGAAGAATTCACAGAAAGGTAAACTTTTTGTGTTATATTATGAAGCTTTAATTTCTCAGCTTTTTATCGTTATGCTAAGTCTGGGTAAACTCCAGTTTATAAATGAATACGTGTACTTCAATCTATTTGCTGCTCTGTCGTTCTTGAATACAATAGAAAATTATACGATATTTGTAGAAAGGATTAGTTTAAATAGAGGTTCAATTAAAGCGTATTTGAAGTGCACTTTTAGTTAAACATTTATTTGGAACTTGTTTTGCTTTATGTTTTTGTGGTGTGTTGCATGCACTGGGTGATTACTAATGCACAGAATATGTAATACTAACCATAATATCGGCTTTATTATATGCAGGCCTGAATACAACTACCCAAGAACACAAAGACCCTTAAGCTATAGGAAAATCGATCTTATTGATAGGTGAGAAATATAGTTATATTGTCTATAGTACAAATACATGGTCTTGGAAGATTCCAACCATCCATGTTAAGTTAAAATACATTAATATAATTTTAGTTTTCTGTTAACCAAAAATGTATTTACATTTAAATGGATTTCAAAACGATTAGCATTGTATGATTTATAGTCATAGTGTGTTGCTATTATTTTCTCATATTATGAATTCCGTTTGGGAAAATAGATGGAGCTTTATGATAGAGAAAGACTGATGACTCAATGTTGTGTTATACACAACGTGGTCAAACAACATGGGGAGTCCCTGAACCGTGATTTTCGGGCGCGCAAATGCAATGTCTACCTCGTGGCCGAATATAAATTGTCTAGTTCTATTTTGACAGCTTATTTTAGCTGCAGGCATTTTAGTTAATGGGGCCCCTGACCTATTTATTTCGTCACTAACGCCGTGGCATGACCCACAGTCACACAGTTGACTAACACAGCTAACTTTAAAAACTACTGTCCAAAATATATATCATTTATACTAATTGTAATTATATTATTTTTCTATTAAATCAGAGATATAATTGACTATCCCAGCAATGTGAGGAGTCGAACTGTTCGACGAGCAAAATCTGACGTTTTTGAAAGGTACTTTTGTCATAAAATGTTGAATTCCATAACTTTCTATATCCAGTAATGAGAGATATTGTCTTTGTTTTTGATGGTAGTTCCGCGGTAAAGGAACGATTGTCAATTATGTCCCTTTTTTCAATTTATAAATCCGCACTCCTTATATAATTTCTTCTAATTTTAACAAAATTTCCTTGACTTGTTCCCAAGTAAAAGAGCCATAGTATATATCCTAAGCTCCCACAAGTCCGAAAGGACTTACATTGCTAAATAAGCGAGACGTTATTTTCTGTTCAATCGAAAAAACATGCTTCACATGAGTGAGGGTGTGGACTCATGGAATGCGCATTGGCACTCGTAATTATAAAGTACCTTTATTGGTCTTCAAGGGGAACGAGGCAGTAATTAAAGTGCATTAACAACATAAGTGAGCCCAAGGCTACATGCTCTTATAAATGACTAATAACAAACTAGTACAGTGAAATTTCCGCCCTCCAACTGAGATTGTCTTACACCAAGTCAAAGCTCTTTTTACTCGAGCTCTTTGAAAAGGAGCAAAAATTTGTTTGGAATGAATTTGAACTGGTAATAGGAGGAACGTCATTCCAACTTATATGGCATCAATTTTGCGCAACAAGCTTATACACGGTTTTGTTGCTGCATCTTACAAATCATAAGAATGCCGGCATCTGTACACGTTTTACACGTTTATTGGCATGGGAACTTACAAGGGTATGTTTGTAAGAAGATTTTTATTTTCTGATTTCTCAGAGTTTTTGATTGTTTTCGATGTTTGCAGACACACAGAAGAAGATCATCTAGACGAAATGGACAGCTCAAAAATGCACCGAAGTAGCATGGAAAACCTTGCTGCTATAGCGAGTAAGTCATGTTCCACAGATATCACAGATATATTTTGAATATAATCAGTGCATTTACCTGGTGTAGGCCGGGTTAACCATGTTAATTGCTCTTTGTTGCAGCGCCTCCAAATGTACGGTCATTCAAGGATCAAGAAACGGTAAGAAACAGTTTACAGTTCAAATAATAATTTATAGGATTTTTCAAACGGAGTTTTAGATATTAAACAAGCAAAGAATATATATAAACACTGAAATAATATCAAAATACAAAATATAGGTTAACTACTCCTCCCCTGGGATTTGCTATAGTTTCAGATCCCGCATACAACTTTAGCCAATCAAAAAAGCAAGACAAACTAGGCCCATCATTGGCAATTGGTAGTCGTTCAGAGGGACCAAGGCCATGTCGTACATAGGTCTTCATTTAACACTGTGGTTATCTCTCGAATTCTCAGCACGATTCGATGCTATTTTCCTTTAAACTTGATTTTGATTTTTGGTGTTTTTATTTGACTGTAGATGATCCAAGAAATCAAGAAAGAAAACTTTGATTTAAAACTGAGACTTTACATGGAACAGAAGGAACGAGAGGTACGTATATCCCCGCAAGAACATGGGACTCCCTTAAAACGACCCTCGCCGTCCCGTGGTCCCTTTTTCATGTCCTCATCCTCCAACTTCGATCCCACTTTCAGTTGCCCTTACTTGAACATATGGAGTTAGTAACTCATCATTTCACTTGCTCATCGTAAAATCTTGTTTTGGCAGCGCCTTCATGAGGAATATCAGCAAAAAGTTTTAATTCTTGAAACGGATCTAACTGAATCTCTTGATGAGCTAAGTGATGCTCTAGAACGAGAAAAGGACTACGAAATATCGCTGAATAATGCAAGGAGGAGAGAAAAGGCGTTACTCATCAAACAGCGTCGCTTAGAAGAGACAATGAGAGAGCAAGACGAGGAGATCAAATATTTAGCGGAGACTAGATCAACGTTAGATCTTTCACAGGTTCCTCCATGTGATGCTACGACACAAACGGATCGTCCTTATTACGAAGAAAGAGGAATAGATACAGGGATATCAAGGAGTAAGGAAACCTCCGTGCGAAACTCAAGTAGAAGTCGACCGCCTACAAAAGTACCGCCCCAAGAAAATGCCGTCGATGGAAAAGGCGGGAACAAACAACCACCTGAAGGAGTGGACTTATTGAACTGCGCATCGATATCTCGTAAAGAACAAATTCTAGGAGAGGCAAGAAGAAGGAGAACTCTGAAATCTAAGAAAGACAAGCAAAGGAGGAAAACTTTAGACGAGATGCCAGAAGCTGATCAAACACAAAAAGTCGTAGTCAAAAAGAAAAATGGTTTGTTTAGTAAGTTGCTTTGCTGCTGTAGTTCGAAGAGAAGTCAGTCCGAAGCTTATGAGCGAACCATAGAAAAGGCATAAATTTTTAACGATTGAAATTTTTTACCGGCCAAACAAAATCTTAATTTTCGTTTCTTAAATTCGACCTTTTGGAGCATGGAATAATGGGGCTCAATTAGGAAACCAAATCGAGTCCCAAAATTTGGCCCACCAATATGCACCACCATGTCCCTCAGTATCATTCTATCTTAGAATTGATGAGACAAATGAATGCGGGTTTGGTTTTTATTCCTGCATGGGATTATAGTATGGCAGAAACAGCTAGGTATCCGTATTAATCTTTACAAATTAGCTAAACGCAATCGCAAAGCATTCACAACCCATTCACGCGAGGTCTTATATTGATCTCATCATATAGAATCATACACCGCGCAGATTGTACCATAGATGAAAAAATGTTTTGACACAAAGTGTATTTTAATTCCGTCATGAGGTAAAAGTCTTATTAATGTTATTCATATAGTTAGTCATTTTAGCACTTCGGCGAGATCATTTTTGATCTGTCAATAATGTGAATTCGGATAAATGACAGTTTGAATAGATTTTTTTAATGTAAAAATACATTTTTAAAATTATCTTTCCCGATAAGGAACCGGAAATAACCGGAAAAGCAAAAGATTAAAAGCTAATAGCATCAATGTATTATTTAATGTTAAGAAGCAAACGCATGCAAAAACGGATCTAAGAATCAAATTTATATTTCTACGCCATGTAATTTGTACAGACGAATTTCGGTAGCAACCTGAATATTCTTGGGATACTTTACTAATCGATGGTGTACAGGCATTTCTAGAAAATGAAATTACGAAATGACAAAATAAAATAGATAATGGCCGCCATGTTGGGGATGAGATGCCAAAAAGTTCTTATCCCGCTTGGTGACGTTGATGTAAATCCCACACTAGGAAACTCGGGATTCGCGCTTAATAGTCACGTGATTATTCCCCGCCTTTTCTCGGAGGAAATAAGGCTAATTTTGTCTGTAAAGAAAAGTAAAGGTCAGTGACCGCTTTCTTACAGTGAACAAGAAAATCGGCTTTAATGAATGTTCCCATTTCGTATAATTTCTTCATTTGAGATATCTGATATATTGAGATATCATCAGTAATCCACCCCTAGAGATGGCAAATTTGGCTATTATTGTTTGTATCATATTTCCAGATCCTGTAACGAAAAGTGAAGGTCCGTGACCGCTTGTGTTACAGGATTGGGAACTAAAAGTCGACAGCTTTATTTGTCTTCCAACATGGCGGAGATTGGTCACGTGACATTGATTTTAGACAGTGTCGTCTAAATATAGTAATAAAAACCCAAAAATAATAGGTCGAAAAGTCGTAGTAATAGTTTTTAATATGTACATATATTCTTACAAGAATTGTGGACCAAATTCAGTATTTTACTTCTTGCATTGGAAACTCGGCAATGCATTCATGTATTCCATAGTTATTAGGAGTATATATTATATTTGAGCCATACATTTATAAATAAATATATTATTAATAGACTGTATTTCGTGGAGAGATTTTTAGTGCTATAGATTATTAGCTGCAAGGGTCCGTAACAGCAAACAAATAATTATCTTTTTCCTCAGACATAAGGGGTTCAATTCTCCTGTGATAAACGGGATCTTTCTCTTTGTGGAACAACCTGGGAATACAAAGGATTGAGATATCAATTATCATACGTTCAATAAGGGTATCCTTTTAGTATTTAGTGAAAATTGAGGTACTTCATGTTAAAACTTTAACAAATAGGCATCAGTTTTGTATGTGTCTGTCCTCTTACTGACGAAAAATTGTGTCAACACATTGTCAAATTAGTGTGGATCCGCATACTACTTTGCAATGTAATGACGAAATTTACCGTCAGTAAGAGGACAGACACAATAAACTGATGTCTTTTAATTTATTTTTTTTACAATAACAAAGACGATAAAAACTTCTCATTTTTAGTGATCAAAACACCCAACGGAAAGAGCGCGCGCTCGTTGACGTCAGCTTTATCTGTCTGTTCTCTTATTGATGATAAAAAATAACCAATCGGCGCGCAAGAAATTTGCAAGTTATTGTAAGATTGCTCATTTTACCGACTCCTTGCTTTTTCATGTTCCGCACTCCTCTTACTAGACCCCTCGCCTACCCCTTCATTCGACCCCTCGTCTATCCCCTTACGTTCAACCCTCGCCTACCCCCTTACGTTCAACCCCTCGTCTACCCCCTCTCTTTGCACCCCTCGAGATAATGATTATTCAAGTGCCTAGAGTAAATGCGGTTGACGAGCCACAGTCTTCCGACCCCATAAGTTAGTATCGACAGTAAGGATACAACCTCATTAACAGATATTCAACATAAGTGAATATACCCTGTTAATAGTTTATGGGCACACAGGTATTATTTTCAGCCACTTTGAATCTATATTGAAAGGGTTCTTTACAGTACTTACCAGAAGTCTTGGCCTCGTAAAGCTTCATACTTCTTGTGTTGTGAATCAATGATTGGAATCTTATTCTTCTCCAATAACCACCCTTCGTTTTCAAAAGGTCCCGGATTAAAACCTTTGGTATTTTTCAAATTATCATCGCTGTCACGTGGTTGTAATTTCCCGGTCTTCCTTGCGAAAGTGTCAACGCTGGGATCAGAAACGACTGACAGTGAAGGGATTTCATGCATCGAAAATCCCGGTTTTTGGAGCGCCAGCTTCTTTGGAGGGTCCTTAAGCAGCCCAATTAATTTAGCAGGCTGATTTGCAGCTCTTCGGCCACGAGCTATGAGCTCTGTCTCCGTCAAACAACGGTGAGTTCGAAATATTGGATCATCAACGACTATCTTGTCTTGCCATAGTTTTGCCGCTGCTTCTTGTGATTGACGGAGTTCTTGTTCTTTGATATCTCCCGCCGCATGAATAGACTTGACGGGCTGCAGATCCAAGTATGTTGGTCGAGGTCTCGAGAGATTTATGTCAAAATCCTTATCTCTAAATGGCCAAGGAAATATTTCCCTAGAAGATGATAAATGTGCAAAAAGTTACATCATTAGGGAGATCAAGAGACTATGAAGAGGTAAGACTTATTTATCTTTACTGCTGTTTTCCATATTCTGCGAACTCAGACATTTTAACGGCTTGTAAATTTTTTTTTTACTGCCGCTAGTCAAGAACATAAAAGGTACCGACCGACTATTTTTTATTGACGTACGGCAGCGAAAAACTATAGTCTATTTAGTCAGTCTATTTCGATGGGCTTCCTCTTTAGAACTTGGGGAAGTGCATCAAATGAAACTAGCTCTACAAGAGAGTATAAGGTTGGTTTTATTTTTAACTGCAACTACTTTATAACTCACCGATCGACTGTTGGTTTAAGAATGCTAGAATGAAGAACATTTTCTTTCCATGGCTGAAAATAATAAAATGTGACGTGAGTTACGCTATGCTATGCTGAAGCGTAGTATATTTACAAGCTAGAGTAATGTAGTCATTGTGTAGAAAGGTTTGGCGTGGTGTGGTATAGCGTATTGTGTAGTACAGTGTTGTGTGTTGCATTGTTATGTTATATGATAATATCTGATGTGTGCTGTAGTTTAGGATGGCGTGTTGATGTGTGTCCGGATCAATCTTAGTGCGGTGTGGTATGATGAAGTGTGGCGAAGTGCTGAGTGAAGTGGTATGGTATGGTGTGATATAGTGTGGTGTGGTGCTATTTGGTGTGGTGTGGTGTACAGTAGCGTGGTTTGGTATGGTGTGGCATAGTGTGGTGTGGTGTACAGTAGTGTGGTTTGGTGTGGTGTAGCATAGCACGGTGTGGTGTGGTGTGGCATAGCACGGTGTGGTGTGGTGTGGTGTGGTGCGGTGTGGTGTGGTTTGGTGTGCTGTGCTGT